CATACTCACACACACACACACAGACACAGACACAGACACAGACACAGACACAGACACAGACACAGACACAGACACACACACACACACACACACACACACACACACACACACACACACACACACACACACACACACACACACACACACACACACATGGCTTCGTTGTTTTTTCCCTTCCGTTGTGGGTTTCCCTTTGGTTCGGCTCATCTGCGCCGACCAAAAGCGGCCGCTTCTTGTATTCGAGGCCTCCAGCGGCTCCGCTCGGAGTCGGAAGACCCGCAGCGCCTGAGGAAGGCGAGGGACCAGTCTTTTTTCCTTTTTGTTTCTTCTTGTTTTTCTTTCTGGGGGGTGGTTTTGGGGGTGTGAATCCCCGACTTTCATGGCTCAAGAAAAAGGAACCGTGCGGTTTAGCGCTTGTAGGTTATGAGCCCAACGCTGCTCGGGTAGGCTCCCGCAATGGACGCTGGCATGAGGAGAAGGAGGGCCAGGTCGATGGACGCGGGGGACGAGGGCATCATGGTCGCCGAGCCCAACGGAGAGGTCATCCCCGAGGAGGAGGTGATGGAGGGCGAGGCGGAGAGGGGTGGTCATGGGGGTGCGGTGCCGGTGAACCCGTTTTGGAGCCAGAAGGCAAGGGCGGAGGCGGAGCTGCAGGCACTTCGGCCCAAGGACCTGCCGAGGGTTCCGGAGGGGGAGATGGCAGGAACACACCCGGGAGAACCACATGGAAATGAGTAGCAGCAGGTCGGAGTTCTGGAGCGAAGTGAAACGGAGCTTGCAGGAGGACCTGGAAAGGGAGAACTGGCCGAAATGTGAAACAGAAAAGGGAGGAGGAAGCGGTAGCGATGGCCATCGTGGACATCCTGGAGGGTGGCCTCCTGAAGCTCGACATGGGGATCATCCAGGAGGGCATCGTGGGTGGGGTCGAGAACATGGTGAAGGACATCCTCGAGAGAACGAGGTGAGGGTCATCATTGGGGAGAATATGAAGGCAATCCTCGGGGAGATTATGAAAGGAGGCGCACAGAACATGCTGAAGGGGGTCTTGCGGGTGTTCGCGGAGGTAGACCAGCGGGCGTGGGGCCACATCCGGGAGAACGAGAAAGTGGACCCTACGGTCGAGAAGGTAAGGGCGGAGGGCATCGCGGAAGACATCCCATCTATGGAAGAGGGCTTGCAACTAGGGGGAGCACGGGAAAGGAAAGAAGAAGGTCAAACATTCAGTTCCTGCTGGAGGCAAAGGTCCGGAACCCCGAGAAGGTAAAGGACATGGGGCAAAAGACGGAAGAGGACTGCAGCCGAGGGAATTGGAGGTGACGAGGGATGAGGCAAGGGCGGCAACGAGAGCTGGCTTCAGGCCAATGGAGCTCCACATGGTTTGGAACCCGGCAACGAAGACGTGGATTCCAGAAGGAAACCTACCAGCTGGCCTGAAATATGATGATGAGGAACTCGTGCCGGACTATAACGACGGCATGATTGATATTCAAGCGGCCATGGGGAAGCAACTCATGCTGGCGTGCCGGATGATTCGAGGCATGGAGCAAGAACGGGATCATCTCAAGGGGAAGATGGCGGAGCAGGGCAGGTTGCTGGAGAGGAGGAACAGCACGATCAATCAGCTGTTGGAGCAGGTCCGGGAAACTCAGGGTCAACTGAGGCAAGCCCAGGATCAGTTGGCGGACTGGAGATCATGGTGGGATCGCTGGGAGTGGGATGGAACCCGGTGGAGGAGGTATGAGGAGGAAGAGGAGGAGATCTTCCAGACACCTGCAGAACCGGGTGGAGGACATGGAAAAGGGGAACGGCGAGATCGGACCAGGTCCCCACACCCACCTCCGCATCCTCCAAGGCCAAGGACGCCAGAACAGCGAAGAACCCCAGGAGGGACGGAAGTCCCGAGAGGAACGCCGCCCCGCTCTGAGAGGGGAAAGGGTGTTTTTCGTCTTGAAGAAGGAGAGCTATACACCTGGACCAAGGACTATGAGTCGGGTGGCCTGAAGATGGTGCCGGCACCGATGACCAGAAATGAGTGGGCGCTGACGTGGGAACGGGCCGATGCAATGGTGAGTGAAGCTCCGGCACCGCCGCCGGGATTGGAGCCAGGCCCGGCTTGGACCCGGAGGTGGTGGTGAGCGAGAAGACTGGGGACGTTAAGGGAATCATGGACGTCTGGCCGGAGGATGTGAAGGCAATGTTAGCAGCGGGACAGTTTCGGGAAGAGGCGATCAGAGCTGCGGAGTTGCCAAAGCTGCCGGAATTGTGGGCAAGGAAGCCGGGACCGGCAGCTCAAGAGACAAGGACTTGGGGACGGACAGGACAGGGAGGAACTTGGCCCTGGACGGGTGCAACGTTGCCTAAGCAGGTACCCAAATCCTTGAAGGCGATCCGACCTCAGGCAAAGGCCTCGAGGGACGATCTGGTAGTAGTATGCCATGTGCGAGATGGGGCTGGAGGTCAAGTTCCGGTGCGGGCAACAAGAGCGGTGCTGGGGACGGAGAGGATGGAATACTACCGCGAGATGGAAAGAAAGTCAGAAGAGCGGTGGGAGTTCCTTCAAGCTCGTGCTCGAGGTGAACCTCTTGGGGGTCTTCAAGGGAGCTGTGGAGGGCCGATGAGCATTTGCGAGGAGGTCCCATCGAGGTGGTGGAGACGAGGAGCCAACCGCCTGGGCAGTCGGGTGAAGGAGGGTCTGCAGAGCCAAGCAAGGACGTCAAGGAGGAGGAGACTCAGCCGCGGGGGAGCTCATGCATGGCAAGAGCAGCAGCGGCTGGGAAGGTGGTGCTTGGCGAAGACAAGGACTGAGGACCGCACGGTCTGGGGGGGCCGGTAAGCCGTTGTGGGTGCAATAGACACCCAGGGGGAGTGTGAATCCCCGACTTTCATGGCTCAAGAAAAAGGAACCGTGCGGTTTAGCACTTGTAGGGGGATTTGTTTCGGGTAACAGGGGGGCGGGAACACCAAAGGAGGGGAGGGTGGAGTCGTTTGGTTTTTTCTCCTTTTTTTTTTTTTTCTCTTTTTTTTCTTTTTCTCGTTTCTTTGTTTTTTGGTCGGCAGACTTTGCCTGAACCTCTCGAGTGGGGTGAACCGCCGTACCATGGGAGCCATGTTCTCCCTCCACTCTGGTTGGTTCGGGATCCAGCAGTTGCAAGCGGGGAGCGCGAGTCCTCCACTTTTGACGGCTTGTCACAAGGCTGCCCGAATAAACCAAGGCGCACATTCTTTGGTTGAATGATCAGTGGGTAAAAGAGCACCATGTCACTCCCCGAAACTTACGCTTTGTTTTGAGTTCACTGCAGCCAGAGCTCATGCCTGGCAAGAGGGTCGCTAAACATGAAGAATGCACATGATCTACTTGACGTTTGTGGGCGCCATATGGATGTAGTACATATGCACGTGCGCATATACGCATGAGTTGCATCCGCAGTGTATAATGTGGACATATTCGTGCATACGCATTTATTATCACATTGCGTGCGTATGCGTATTTTCCGCAAAACTCACATATACACGCATGTACATTTGGGGGTGTCTATTTTTGGTGGTATCCCTTGTTGGGTGGGTTTAACGGGAAACCACAAGGAAGACCACATTTTTTTTTGGGGGGGTGGCCTACAAAACGACAATCCCATATTCCTACCTCTAATGACTGGCGACGGTGTGGAGTAGCGCGATGCTACTCGGACAGTATAACACCTGGCCGGGCCATCAAAGTTGGGCCCTTTGCAGGGGCAATACATCTATGACATCTCCCTCATCCGAGCCGAGGTCTTGGATCATCTGCAGGGCCTCGGCGCTTCAGGCGCGGCGTTTGGGGCCTTGGGCTTGCTTGGAGTTCCCAGGCAGCCAAAGGGCCCGACATTTTGGGAAGCTGCGAGTGGACACATCCTGCAGGTTACGTTTTTTTTGTTTTTGCAATTTTACCTTCCGGTCAGTTTTAATGCTCGTGACTCATTGGATTTGATTGTCCACGACTTGATGGGCTCCAATGTTTCAACCCAAAGTTGGTTCGGTCCAACCCATTTGGGAACAACCCTCGTGCATGGCAGGTTGTACAACATCAAGGTCGCTTACCTGATGGTAATATTGTGCCCAGATTGTTTGGTTGTTCCAAGGACTTAAACATCACCATTGTCGTTTTGGACATACTGTGGAAGGACGAAATCCTGCACCACCTAAGAAACACTGGAATGCTTATTCCCCTGTAAATGCCAACAAACAATTTGCGTCCATCCACAGTACCAAGACCGCAGCTTCCCCATGTGTGCCTTGTCGGAGCTATTTGTTGGTCGCGCAAGGTGAAGCAGAACAAGATCGCTTGCGAGGACCGGTGCGCAGCTTTCACGGTGCCCGGTGCGGGGGAGCCTTGGAGTATCCCTGGGATCCGGGGTCGACATGAATTGCTAGGTCCCCCAGCTAGGTGCCCTTTCTCACCTTTTGGTTGGGAGGGTTCCCCTACTAAAATAGACTACGGAAAAAAGGGTACCCTTGTTCTAACCTCTCTACTGTACTGGAGGACCTAGATTGTAAGCGCTTTGCGTTGCCCGCCTCGGCCGCCGAGCCGTTCTCCACATCGATAGTTGTTGTTGGGACACTATCATGGCGGTTGTTGGGAAACGTGTTACATTTTTGCGTATCGTGGTTTATTGGGAAATCCCCCACTTAACTGCTAAATTGCAACGTCAACTAAGCTATGGTGGACATTCCTCACTTGCGCACTGCGCCCGCTTGAAAGCCATCCTGCTGCTTGCTTTGACAGTTGCCGAATTAGAAATTGATGTCCTCCCTGTCTCGCGGTCTCCCTCCTTTCTTTTTTCACGATGCTTTAACGCCTCCGGCTCAGACCGCCAGTATCGCGCGTCATTGTCATTGCGAGTTGCTGTTTGCCGATGATGAAGGTGCATTAATACAAAAAGCAATAAACGCATATTTGAAAGAACAAGGCATAGAACATTGTGTCACAAGAGGTCACGCTTCATTTAGTGAGGTTCAACATTCAAACAGATGCTGTATAACAGAGTTGAGGCAGATGAACAGAAAGGCAGAACCAATATAGACTGGCACAATGAATACGATTCACTTATAATAGTGAAATGGTGCATCGTGCCACTTGCATTTTTCCAGCACAGGCAAACCTGAACAGCATTGCGTCAGCAGGGGCGCGCGCGCTAAATCTTTGGCCCAGTTGAACCGGTTCAGCCAACTGGTTCACCGTTCAACCGATTCAACTGCCCCCCAAGTCCGGACTTTTTGTCTTCGGGGAGGTCTAGCGTGGGCGGATGCATATGACATTTCTATATGTGGATTTACATGGGCGTACATGTACGCATGTGCTTCTTTGCATGCATGTGCGTAGACCAGTGGACCTTTTGAATTGCGCAGTTGGGGAGGCCACAATTTTCATTGACAGTGGCGCATTCGGATTCCCAAGCGCAGGATTGCGTGCCTGGTTGAAAAGTCATCTTTAGGTTAGTTGGGTCAGAAATAGATGGCGCTGGTCTAGATTGATCTCATTCCATGTGCCACGGCCCGCAAATATTCCAAAAGGGCACCTATGATCAGCCATCGTTGATTTATGATTTCACGACTTGGTCCCTTGACAAGAACACCCCTTCATCTTATTGCAGTGATACTTGGAATCACCGGATTTTGCATCGGGGACAAGCAGCTCAAGACTTTCCGCCTGCCCAATTTGATCAAACTCTGGTGCCTGTGAGCTGGGGGTGGGAACTGCTCTGGGCACATCAAACTGTTCTGTCGAAATGGGTGGACCCCCAAACGGGTGGTTTTCCTTTGGCTCCCCTGTAGAGCAACCCCAAAAACGGGGGCCGCCTTGGACACCACGATATGAAGGGGTGAGATGTGGCAGTGCGCTGGCGGCTCTGGACAGGCAAACGCCGCTTGCGCTGGCAAGGCGTGGGGCGTTGCTTTACTTTACTCCCGACTAACATGGCATCTGACAGAGGGTCAATATTTTGTAGAGACTGATCCTGCAGGTCCCTCCAGGTGCTATGTTGGAAAGGTGTAAACCTTTTGGTTGGAATTGAAGGAGTTTGCGACTAAAGGTTCCCTCATACGTGTGCGTCCCTTTCAGGTTGGATAGTTCTTGAAGCCTGTGAGCCGGCCATGGCGCCATGTTGAGGTTCTCCGAGCGAACGGGGCCTTCCGAAGATCTCGCCAAAAGCCAACCTTGGGGTGACATCACCAATTTTACATACTGTGGATGGACGAAATCCGTTCGCACCACTTTGAAACCATGGTTGAACCCATTGTTTGTTGGTATTTACAGGGGGAATCATCAGAAACCAGGGTTTCTTAGGTGGTGCGAATTGGATTTCGCAACCATTCACAGTGTAAGCTATTGGGGTTGACCATGGGGTTTGCTTGGAATCGGCCGGCCCTTGCGGCAGGCTTTCTTCCCGTGACGGGCACCTTCCAAAAGGGCGGCGGCTCGGTCCCACCCTGGGCGCCAAGTATTTCGGCAAGCGCGTGCTTCTGTTTGGGGGAACTTACCAGGCCTTTGTGTGGGGCAACCCCGATTCTACGCACATTGTATTATATATATATATATGCACATATATACATCTTCCTTTTTACAGACGTTTAAATACCATAGCATATCATGCACCGTTTTGATGGCTAGGTGGACCGTCAGACCTAGGAGTGGACTACTTCTATGTGGACATGGCCAAAGGCCCGTACTGCATCTTCGCCGACAAGGCGATGGTCATGGAGGTTTGGCGGGACAGCCGCATGGTCCGCGCCTTAAATGACTGCTGCCTCGGTTTCGAGGCAACGAGGAAAACATGCGAAGGGCTGATGTGTTTTGTGTCAAGTTGCAACCAGCATGTTTTTTTTTGTGGCTTGTTGTTCCCCAGGTGTTTGCTCCTCTTTGTTCCTGTTTGCGTTCGATTTTAAAATCGAGCAGCACAACAGAGTGTGTTTTCGTGGGAAAGCACTGGGCAAGCAAGGCTCTTGATTGGACTCATCTCCAGGTTGTGACAAGGCCACCAAGAGGGTCATTCGTTTGTGGCCATTTTCGAGGGTTGGGTTTTCTCGTTTTTTGTTGGGCCATTTATGTTCGAGATGTTTGTATCCGTGGGCAGTTCTCTTGGGTTCGTTTTGGATGCGGGGTCGGCTTGCATGGGCTCTGAGGTCCATGTGGGGGCAGCAATCCTGTGCAATGACTGGAAGGCGGAAACATGTGGTTCTTTTCGCAGCTCCAGGGATTCCATTCGGGTTCTCCGAAAACAACGCCCATGTTTTCTTGGTTTCATTTTGAAGTCAGCCTGAAGAAGGTTTTCCCCCTAATATGGGGTTCCCTCTTGAGAAAAAAAGTATATTTGGCTGAGGGATTTAGCAAATCAGGCAAACATGGGTTTGGGTTTCTGCATCCTCAAGGCAGACAGCGAGAGCTATGGGCGAAGGCGTCAGAACCCATCCTGGGTTAACGGGCATGGGCTGAGCTCTCAGGGAGGTTCCGGGGAGGCTCAGGAGAGTTCGGGCGGACCTTCCGGGGAATGAATCTTGGATGATGCTCTTGGGAACTCTCTTTCGGCTTGTTTTACTCGGGAGTTTCGCTAAAAGACTCAAAACCAGACCTTCCCAAACGGGTGGCTTCGGACAAGTACAAGAGAAATTCGAAAGGCAAACATCTTTCCTTTCTTCCCATTTCTATTCATTTATGATTGTCTTGGACCAAAGATTGATCATTTCCTTTCTTTCAATCCGGACGAATCTGAAGCTAATCCCAGTGGATTCCTTAACCTGTGGGTCACCAAAAAAAACACGCTTGAACGAAAAGGGGAAATGATGACTCAGTAGACCACGTACGTTAAAATCCCCACCCCACCCATCCCTCCCCCCCTACTATAAGGGTAACTGGGATCCATTGGAAATGTTTGACTTGGTGGCTCCCAGCCATCTGGTTCCTTAGAGCCTTTTTAGCCCTGTGGTTGGTTTCGTGGTAGAAAACACTTTGTTCAACTTTAGCCAAAGCTTTTGACCAACAGTTCGGTTTCTCCGCTTTGCTAAAACATGGTTAAATTGTGTTCAACCCAAAATTCAAGCGTTGGTCCGCCGTTTCGCCGATCTGAAACCGGGCCGCCCACGCTGTTTCCATGGCCAGTTGGACCCGGTGCTGCCGGCGCTCTACGGCGCCTACGGGCGCCTGGTGGCCGCGGGGGCGGTGCAGAGCGGGGACCAGGCGCGGGGGAGTTCTTGGTGAGGGGAGAGAAAAGGCGCGGGAGTCTTGGGGGGATGTTTTGTTCTTGGGGGATGGTTTTTTGGGGGTTTACTTGCGGGAGTCTCTCTGGCATGTTTTGTTCTTGGGATGTTTTCTGTTTTTTTTTGTTTCCCCTTTTTTCCGGGGGGGTTGCTTGCGGGAGTCTCTCTGGCATGTTTTGTTCTTGGGGGATGTTTTTTGGGGGGTTTACTTGCGGGAGTCTCTCCGGCATGTTTTGTTCTTGGGATGTTTTCTGTTTTTTTTTGTTTCCCCCTTTTTTCCGGGGGGTTGCTTGCGGGAGTCTCTCTGGCATGTTTTGTTCTTGGGGGATGTTTTTTGGGGGGTTTACTTGCGGGAGTCTCTCCGGCATGTTTTGTTCTTGGGATGTTTTCTGTTTTTTTTTGTTTCCCCCTGTTTTCCGGGGGGTTGCTTGCGGGAGTCTCTCTGGCATGTTTTGTTCTTGGGATGTTTTCTGTTTTTTTTTGTTTCCCCCTTTTTTCCGGGGGGTTGCTTGCGGGAGTCTCTCTGGCATGTTTTGTTCTTGGGATGTGTTTTTGGGGGGTTGCTTGCGGGAGTCTCTCCGGCATGTTTTGTTCTTGGGTTGTTTTCCGTTTTTTTTTGTTTCCCCTTTTTTCCGGGGGGTTGCTTGCGGGAGTCTCTCTGGCATGTTTTGTTCTTGGGATGTGTTTTTGGGGGGTTGCTTGGGAGTCTCTCCGGCATGTTTTGTTCTTGGTTGTTTTCCGTTTTTTTTTGTTTCCCCTTTTTTCCGGGGGGTTGCTTGCGGGAGTCTCTCTGGCATGTTTTGTTCTTGGGATGTGTTTTTGGGGGGTTGCTTGCGGGAGTCTCTCCGGCATGTTTTGTTCTTGGTTGTTTTCCGTTTTTTTTTGTTTCCCCTTTTTTCCGGGGGGTTGCTTGCGGGAGTCTCTCTGGCATGTTTGTTCTTGGGATGTGTTTTTGGGGGTTGCTTGCGGGAGTCTCTCCGGCATGTTTTGTTCTTGGGTTGTTTTCCGTTTTTTTTTGTTTCCCCTTTTTTCCGGGGGGTTGCTTGCGGGAGTCTCTCTGGCATGTTTTGTTCTTGGGTTGTTTTCCGTTTTTTTTTGTTTCCCCCCTTTTTTCCGGGGGGTTGCTTGCGGGAGTCTCTCTGGCATGTTTTGTTCTTGGGATGTGTTTTTGGGGGGTTGCTTGCGGGAGTCTCTCCGGCATGTTTTGTTCTTGGGTTGTTTTCCGTTTTTTTTTTTTGTTTCCCCTTTTTTCCGGGGGGTTGCTTGCGGGAGTCTCTCTGGCATGTTTTGTTCTTGGGATGTGTTTTTGGGGGGTTGCTTGCGGGAGTCTCTCCGGCATGTTTTGTTCTTGGGTTGTTTTCCGTTTTTTTTTGTTTCCCCTTTTTTCCGGGGGGTTGCTTGCGGGAGTCTCTCTGGCATGTTTTTGTTCTTAGGATGTGTTTTTGGGGTTTGCTTGCGGAGTCTCTCCGCAATGTTTTGTTTTCTTTTTTTTGCCGTTTTTTTTTTTTGTTTTCCCCCCTTTTTTTCCGGGGGGTTGCTCGGGAGTCTCTCTCTGCATGTTTTTGTTCTTGGGATGTGTTTTTGGGGGGTTGCTTGCGGGAGTCTCTCCGGCATGCGGGTTGTTTCCGTTTTTTTTGTTTTTCCCTTTTTTCGGGGGTTGCTTGCGGAGTCTCTCTGGCAATTTTTGTTCTTGGTTTTCCGTTTTTTTGTTTCCCCTTGTTTCCGGGGGTTGCTTGCGGGAGCTCGGGTTTTGTTCTTGGATTTTTGGGGTTGCTTGCGGTTTCCTCCGCATGTTTCTGGTTGGTTCGTTTTTTTTTGTTTCCCCTTTTTTCCGGGGGGTTGCTTGCGGGAGTCTCTCTGGCATGTTTTGTTCTTGGGATGTGTTTTTGGGGGGTTGCTTGCGGGAGTCTCTCTGGCATGTTTTGTTCTTGGGTTGTTTTCCGGTTTTTTTTGTTTCCCCTTTTTTCCGGGGGGTTGCTTGCGGGAGTCTCTCTGGCATGTTTTGTTCTTGGGATGTGTTTTTGGGGGGTTGCTTGCGGGAGTCTCTCCGGCATGTTTTGTTCTTGGGTTGTTTTCCGTTTTTTTTTGTTTCCCCTTTTTTTCCGGGGGGTTGCTTGCGGGAGTCTCTCTGGCATGTTTTGTTCTTGGGATGTGTTTTTGGGGGGTTGCTTGCGGGAGTCTCTCTGGCATGTTTTGTTCTTGGGTTGTTTTTCCCGTTTTTTTTTGTTTCCCCTTTTTTCCGGGGGGTTGCTTGCGGGAGTCTCTCTGGCATGTTTTGTTCTTGGGATGTGTTTTTGGGGGGTTGCTTGCGGGAGTCTCTCTGGCATGTTTTGTTCTTGGGTTGTTTTCCGTTTTTTTTGTTTCCCCTTTTTTTCCGGGGGGTTGCTTGCGGGAGTCTCTCTGGCATGTTTTGTTCTTGGGATGTGTTTTTGGGGGGTTGCTTGCGGGAGTCTCTCTGGCATGTTTTGTTCTTGGGTTGTTTTCCGGTTTTTTTTGTTTCCCCTTTTTTCCGGGGGGTTGCTTGCGGGAGTCTCTCTGGCATGTTTTGTTCTTGGGATGTGTTTTTGGGGGGTTGCTTGCGGGAGTCTCTCTGGCATGTTTTGTTCTTGGGATGTTTTCTTTTTTTTTTGTTTCCCCTTTTTTTCCGGGGGGTTGCTTGCGGGAGTCTCTGGCATGTTTTGTTCTTGGGATGTTTTTTTTTCCCCCCCCGTTTCGGGGGGTTGCTTGCGGGAGTCTCTCTGGCATGTTTTGTTCTTGGGATGTTTTTTTGGGGGTTTGCTTGCGGGAGTCTCTCTGGCATGTTTTGTTCTTGGGATTTTTTTTTTGGGGGGTTGCTTGCGGGAGTCTGTCTGGCATGTTTTGTTCTTGGGATGTGTTTTTGGGGTGTTTGCTTGGGGTTTGCTTGGGGGTTTGCTTGGGGGTTTGCTTGGGGGTTTGCTTGGGGGTTTGCTTGGGGGTTTGCTTGGGGGTTTGCTTGGGGGTTTGCTTGGGGGGTTTGCTGGGGGCGCTTTAGTTTTGTGTTGGGAAGTTTTTGCTGGCTTTGAAGCTTTGAATTCTATGAAGGTTCCTGAGGGTTAATTTTGGCGTCCTTGGTCCTTCCTGGGCATGGAGCTGGGAGTGTTGGTTTGCTGTGTGAGCGCGTCTTCCAGCATTTACCGTTTGACTTGGCCACGAAGCCCCAAACATCACGAGTTGTCCAAGCAAGCAAAGGAGCACCAAAGCGTCCTCCACTGCTGGGGGTCCTTTGAGGGTCTAGGGAAACAGGGTCTGCTTTGTTTTTGGCCAGCTTGGGTTTCTGTCATCTGACAACTATGCACACACCCTCGAGCTTTCTTTCCAACACAATCTCAATAGCTAGCAAGCAAACATGTCAGGACCACGTGGCCAGCTCAAGGCCTCCGTTCCTGTGAGTCTAGACGTGTGCTAGACATATCATATGAGCGTATCATGATAGACATATATGCTGGAGGGCACTGGAGCCACAACGGAATAATGCCACACGCACAGGCTAAGCAAGTGCTGAACTGAACATCGGCTGGACATGCTAGACAATAAGGCTTTGGCGAGGGGCTACACCAATCTCAAGCTGGACACAACCTGGAAGAATGCCAGACGTACGCTAGAAATCTGATACCCCCCCCATGCCCCACGAGTGTGTGAGTTTCCAAACACATGCAGAACGGATCAGGTTTGCCGTAACATTGAAGAGACATGCTTCAGTACCAGTTTACAATCAAAACGTGGCCATGAATGCAAACAACACACACTCACAGTGAGCAGCTCTCAGACATCGCGGGTCCATTTTTGGACCCTTCATAAACCTTGTTTGTACACGTCCCGTCCCAAGCTTACATTTCGAATCGGGGCCCAACAGCGGTCCTGTTGCCTGCCACATTCCTACCCAAACCACTTCCAAGCTCCACGAGTTGCCGGCACAGGTCGCTTTCCCCGGGTGCCGGCAGTTCCACAAGAACTTCCAGGAGATCGATCTGGAAATCATGGCTCGGTGTTCATGGGTTCCCCGAATGCCACGAGTCGGCTGCGAAAAAAGGATGGGGGGCTTGCCCTTGCGATTTGGCGCTGAATCAGCTCAGAGGCTCTGATTGATTTTCTGAAAAAGTTTTGAGGTCACCAGCTGCCCCGGGCTGCAGAAAGGTTGCTTATGCACTTATTTCCTTCTCCGGCATGTTGCAAGCGTTTCCCTGATGGCGCGCCTTATTTTGCCTGTATGCTCTCTCAGCCTGTCTTGAGCTGTTTGGAGCTGTGCCTGTTTCTTTGCTGGTGGGTTTTAGTGTCAATGAGGTGGAGAGAATTGTGTCTAAGTCTCACCAAAAAACAAGCTCAGGTGGTATCCCCAACAAGAACCACTGGAACCCTTGGGCAAAAGCCCGCAGCAGCTTCGAACCGCTGCCCCAGAGAACTTCCAGATCCGAAACTCTTCGGAACCCTGTCCAGCATTTGTGCCACAGAACCCCCGGGGAAGCCATAGCTGTCAGCTGTCGGGGAATACTCCATGGACCAATCCCCAACTGTGCCACAATCTACAACCACCATCTTACGCCTCATATCAAGCACCGTTGTTGTGTATCCTTGGCGTATCCGATTTATTCAGAGCTTGGGCGTTGTGTTGGGACATCGCAAACGCCGCCCCGGAATCTTGCAGCTCTTATTCCCTTGGGTGATGTTAGACATCACCTTTTGGTTGCTCAGTCGATTTCTGAGTTTTCTTTGGTGTGACGTATGGGGAGCCAGACTTAACCCGTTTGCCGAGCCTCACGGGGCCGCTCTTGAAAAGTGCCGAGGGTTGGGTCGCGAGTGGCCGGTCAAGACGAATTCTCCGCTCCGAGCCGTGAACCTAATGTTGACAAGGGAGGGAAGGATCTTGTGAAAAAGGACATCCACTTTTAGCTTTACCTTCAAAGGCTCACGGCTCATCATTCGGTCAAAGCCTCCAGTATGGTCCATTTGGACATGGGACTCACTAAACCTGAACTCACCCAATCGCAAACAAGACAACCAAGGCGACGCAGCCCAAGTTTTCTGTTTCGAAGGGGCGGTCAAAAGAGAAAACATCGAATGGTTTCACATACTTTCATTGCCGATGTCTGGAGAGGCCTGGACATAGCTTCTCAATTTTGGCCATACCGGGCAAAACCTTCAATCTGTCTCTGTCACAGGAGTTCACGGAGACGTGCCTCAAGGAGTGGGTTTCCGCTTGGGAGTACCTCTTTTGAAAGGGGGTGGTAAAGGGCAAGCGTTGCGCCATTTGTAGGGTCTTCTCCCTCCCCCCCCCTTCTAGCCAAATATTGTGGCATATTCCCTACGGATGGCTGTGGTTGCGAACAGTGGCAGCTTTCTCTTGGGAGAGCTGCTGGCACGGTGTGGCAAACAGGTCTCCTTTGGAATGGGTCGCTTTGTTTGGCCCCCTGGGCAAAAGAATCGCATTGGCCAAAGATGGCTCCAAAGAGGAATCAACAACTCAAACTCAGGAAGGAGGCAATTTTTGGCGACGTCACTAGGAAAGGCTTTGCGACATCACTCATGAAAGATTGTTTCACAGGGATCCCTTTCGATGAAGGGAGGGACATCCATGCATGTTTATTCCAACGAGGCTATGAAAGAGAAACCCCGTGCATGGGGATTCAGCATGCAGTTTTTCTTCGTGGTTCCTGCTCGTCTTGGACATTTCCCTCTTTGCGTTGAGTCCTTCAGGTAGGACTGCCAGATGTGTGCAGCTATGTCTGCCAGGATGGAACCTGAAAAGGCAGCCCATTCGCCCGTGGGTCTAGGTGAGAAGCGGTCAATGGCATCAGCCCCATATCGAAGTGATGATAGGTGGACGCAACCGCAACTCCCATGTCAGTTGGGGGCATGAACATATTGACCGTGGCTCAGGTGACTAGCTTTCAGAGCTTGCTTGCATAAGTTGCTTAGCGCCCTCCAAGAATGCCGCAGCAGTTTGCCACGAACTACTCATGAGGACCTTGTCATGTGGTTGCATGCGCGGTTTTTCTTGCCTTCAACGGAAGGAGGGGTCTGTTTTTAAGTCGAGTGATTTGCTGAAGGCAGTCACATGCAGTCGCCAAAGAGGGGCCTAAGGCCCCATCCCTGCGAGATGTCCAGCAGTTGCTGACAAAGATGCAAAAACGGGCTGAATGGGCGGGCACGGAAGAGGAGCTGTGGTTGCGGCGGTTTTCTTGGATGCTCCCCAGACCTCCACTGATGCTCTTTCTTTCTTCCTTCTTTCTTTCTTGCTTGGTTCCTGTCTGTCTGTCTGTCTGTCTGTCTGTCTGTCTGTCTGTCTGTCTGTCTGTCTGTCTGTCTGTCTGTCTGTCTGTCTGTCTGTCTGTCTGTCTGTCTGTCTGTCTGTCTGTCTGTCTGTCTGTCTGTCTGTCTGTCTGTCTGTCTGTCTGTCTGTCTGTCTGTCTGTCTGTCTGTCTGTCTGTCTGTCTGTCTGTCTGTCTGTCTGTCTGTCTGTCTGTCTGTCTGTCTGTCTGTGTGTCTGTCTGTGTGTCTGTCTGTCTGTCTGTCTGTCTGTCCCTTCAAAAACTAAAGTACCAAACCATGAGTGCCTTTTTTCCCCGTGGCCGGAGGTGTGCGATGCTGGATTCTCAAGATCCAGGACATGAGGGCATCGGAATTTCCTCTTTCGAGGCTTTGGGACCGGAGCTGGTCTCTTGCTGCGTCCTTTGTGAAGCGGCCGCCTCTTGCCTAGGTGCCATCTCACCATGGGCTTGTTGGGGGTCTCCTTTGAACATGGGCTGGGCAAACGCCAGAATGAGGGTTCACCTGTTTAGTTCCGGGGTTCGCCTTTTTACTTACGGGGCAACCGCGCGCAACCGCCGAGGTAAGTTTTTCTGAGTTTTTTCTCCTGTGCTCGCCAGGCCTCAGCTGGGTTTAGCGCCACTGGGTTGTGCGCAACTGCCGAGGTGCGGGATACGAGCTGCTACATGGGGGCAGGCCTGACCTTTAGCGAGCGCTTGAAGTGGGCAGCGTCCAAGTGGGTGTCTCAGAATGGGGAGAAGCCACATTTTGGCTAGGTTCCCAACGGGTTCCATTTAAAACCACCACAAAAGGGTCCACATCCAAGTGCCTCTTAAGTACTTTGACCCCTAACCCATGCTCGGGTACTTGGACTATGGTTCCAGATTTTTCCGCGGGCTCAAAGGCTTTCCACGTTTCCCAGAGCTCCACAGGGAAGGCAAACCCTGGTATAGAAGAGGTCTGATAGTGTTCCATAGTGGCTTTAAGCTTCACTTTCTTTTGGACCATCCATTATAGGTGAGATGTCGGACATTAAGTTGTTCAAATGATAGCGATCTCACCTAGGCTTGGTTTGCAAAGCTCCCACATGAAGGTTTCTTGATTCAGTTCTTGATTCAGTTTGGTGAACCATGATTCATCCAGAATACTTGGTACATGTCCAAGAAGGGGTTTGTTTCTCAAATAGACTGGTTTGATTTCTTGCTTCGCTCCCAGATGTCTAGGGCCACCCTCAATTTTTCCAGGATCTTTCTTTCCAGAGAATTATCCAAAACCCCCAGAGGAAAGCGGCTGGTTTTTAGGGTTACGACAACTCCTTGTCATTGCCAAGCTCAAGGAATTTGTTTGTCCTTGTGCCTTTTTGGGGAAACTCCCTGTTACATGATCAAATTCCCTCCTTTGATACAACTACTGTGGATGGACAAAATCCAATTCGCACCTCCTAAGAAACCCTGGTTTCTGGTGATTCCCCTGTAAATACCAACAAACAATGGTTTCAACCATGGTTTCATTTCGTGCGAATTGGATTTCGTCCATCCACAGTATTGGGGGGGGGAAGTCTCGCCAAGTTGTTTGGGGAAACCAGGGTTAGGCAGACTCCTTGTTACACGATCAAACTCCCTCCTTTGATACACCTGGGTGTGGGTCAAAATTAAACCACTAGGGGACCGCAGGTTTTAGTCCATGTTTCTACTTACCAGGGCAACCCATTTGGGGTACCGATTTTTGATCCACAGCCACCTATTGTTTGAACCCCCTTCCTTTAATGTCCCAGGGCTACCTTGGACTCATGCCGCAGGCTGATGACGCTCTTCTCCGCCTCCAAGTATGGCGCGGACCCTTTTCGGGGCAGATACGAGTGCTCCACCAGCTAGGTGCCCTTTGAAGGTTGTTTTTTTTGGGGGGTTTTGGGTTAGGTCCCCCAGCTAGGTGCCCTTCTTATCCCATTTTTTTGGTTGGGAGGGGGAACCCCTACTAAAATAGACTACATAAAGTTGGTAGCCTTATTCGAACCTCTCTACTGGAGGACCTAGGATAGGTCGGGCTGGTTTGTTGCGCGCGCACCTTTGGCGGTGGGTCTTACCCACGTCATTTGAGAGTGGTTTTTGGAATGAGAGCTCCAAAATGGATGGTGTCCTTAGAGGTTTCCCTCTAGCCGTGCTGGGAATCGAGGGCTTCCCCAAAGGCTTTGGTTTCTGGTGCTTCCCCGGCTTGCTGTTGGCGCAGTCCAAGAGACCTGACACCACTCCACCTTTGCCAAGCTATCCAGTTGTTTTTTCCCGAACTATGTCCAGTGCCAAAACCAAAATTCCACCTTGGTCAAGCTATCCAGGCGAAACCCGAAACTCAAGAACAAGAAGACCCATTTCCATCTTTGCCAGCCCCGGTGCCCAGCCCAACCGCGTCAGGCGGCGTTCTGCAGAACCGGGGGGCTGTGGCCGTGGTCCGCGCCTCCCAGGCGAGCGATCCGCTAGGGGGGGGGGTGGGCTTCAATGACATCAACGGTTTCAGGAGGGTCAATGGGTTTTGGGGGTTGTCGTTTTTTGAGGGTACCCGTTTTCTCAATTGAAACCTTGTGGTGTTTGGGGTTGTGGTTTTTTTAGGGTGCTCCGTCCATGTTTGGGGGTTTTCAAGGGAAGCCAAAAGGAAAAACCAGGCCATGTTGGGGGTCCAGCCTTAAACAAGGACGCAGCTTTTTGGGGTCCGGCGTTAAGATTCGCCATGCACGGTATTTGTTGCTCGCAAAATATGGGTGGGTGGGTTCACGACACGGCTCACCAAATATGGGTTCAAGGTTCGCTAGTGCGATTCTTCGCATTGCAAGATATTCTGTACAACCCTCAACCCCTCATGCAATCGTCTGAATTCTCCACACAAGGGATTTGTGCTCTGGCATCCCCACCCACATTTTGCCAAACAGAATGTGTTTAGTCATGTGACTCATCAACTCAGAACCCTCCTGACACCCTTCGGCTCTTACGTTGTGCGGGGGTTGACCCCTCTTCATCCGTGATGACTTGTGCAGACCTGTTCGAGCAACCCCTCAACTACTGTGTAAGGCATGTATTCTGAGGCTATTCTGAAAGGCGAGTTGAATAGTTCTTGAAACGTTGGAAGGTGTCCAACTTATTCCTGTCGCGTGGCAGAGACTTGGACCCGAACTTTTCACCAGGCAAAGGCCCATGGTGACTCAAGGCTTTTGGAGAGAGGGGACTCTTTCCTTCTGGTAGATCTCAAGGGGCAAAACGCCGTTCAAAGAGCAGAGAAAGGTTGGGTTCACCCTGCAAATGGTTCCCTGCCAGGCTGAGCCGTGCGGCGCCTCAGTCTTGTTTCCTGTGGGTTCACAAGGGCCATATGCGCCGCAGCTTTGGGAGAGAGAGCTCCAATTGGGGGGATTGTCAGCCTGTCGACTCTGTGAAGCAGGGTCGATCTCTTTTCCCATTCTCACGGCTGCGCTGGCTGGTCGAAAGATAGGGATCAGTAGCAATTGGGATCTGAGAACTGACAGCCCCTCTCATTTGTCTTATATAAAACAAAGGATGTAAACAACCACTCTGAGGGGCGAATGGAGATGTCAACATTTGGGAACTCCGTGGTTGCAAATGAAGAAGAGCAAGAGAACCCCAAGAAGGCGTCCTCCAAGAAGTGTTTCCGTGCTGCCCGCGGAAATAATACTGTGGGTGGACGAAATCCATTTCGCACCACCAAAGAAACCCTAAAATGATGATTCCCCTGTAAATACCAACAGAGAATGGTTTCAACCATGGTTTCAAAGTGGCGCAGGGTTTTGTCCATGCACAGTATGGGTATGGGTCAAAATTAACCCACCAGGGGACCGTGGGTTTTAGTCTTTGCTTCCATTTACCCATTGTGCCGGCGTTGCGGGTTTTCATTTCGTGCTGAAGCCGATACACCGATACACCGATATCCCTCCTCAGGATATCCGCGCGCACGGATTTCGGCGGGCGCCCCGATATCCCCCCCTTGGTGGATATCGGCGCGCGCACCGATATCCCCCCTCCCCGGAGAAGGATATCGGTTGCCCCTCCCCTGCCTTCCGAGCAGGACATGGGCGTGCGGCCGATATCGGCGCGCCGGCGCGCGCGCCGATATCCTCCCCATCCCCCCCTTCCGAGCAGGACATCGGCGCGCCGCCGGATATCGGCATGCGCGGAAATCGGCCCGCCGGCGCGCACCGGTGCGGTGGATATCGGCGCACCGATATCTGGGAGAAGGAGATCGGGTCCCAGATGTCAGCGCGCCGGATAGCGGAATGTGCCCCCATATCAGCGCGCCCGCCCCGGCATCAGGGCGCTCTGATATCGGCACGCGCACGGTGGATTTCGGCGCGCGCACCGATGCCCCCCCTCACTCGAAGAAGGATATCCGCACGCCCGGATATCAGCGCGCCGGATATCGCTGCGTGAAAATCCTGCCTGTCCCTGTACAACAAACGGTTGCTACTTGGTGTGGGCGAAAACAAACCTTCCGTGAACGGCTCTTGGCATCTGAGGTCCTTGGCCACGAGTCTGGATCTTCTGAACCAAACAAACTT